GAATCGAAAGATAGGTAGAGGTTTTGATTATACTTGAATAAAAAAGTAGACATAGGTCTAGTTTATACTTGAGTCAAATGTAGATATGGGTCCAGGTTATACTTGTATCAAAAGTACATGTAACTCTGATTTATACTTGAGCCAAAAATTAAAGATAGGTCTAGTTTATATTGAATCATAAGTAAATATATGCCCAGTTTAAACTTGAAACAAAATGTAGACATAGGTCTGGTTTATACTTGAGTCCGATGGTAGATATAAGTATGGTTTATACTTGAGTCAAAAGATAGGCACAGGTCTAGTTTATACTTGAAACAAAAAGTACACACAGATCTGGCTAATACTTGAATAAAAATGAAGATATAGCTCCTGTTTATACTTAAGGCAAAAGCTAGAAATATTTCCAGATATACTTGAGTCAAACGGCAGACATGTGACCTGTTTATAATTGAGTTAAATGGTTGACATAAATGCGGTTTTTATCAAATAGTAGATACAGAATCGGTTTATACGAGGCAAAAAATAGATAGAGGCCCGGTTTATACTTGAGTCAAAAGTGGACAAATGTCTGGTTTATACCTGAGTCAAAAAGTAGACATGGATATGGCTTATATAAAAGTTCCTCAGAGTTAACCTGTAAAAAAAGACAGTATGTATAGAGGTAAAAGACAATAGGAAAACTGTATTATTAGCCAACGTGTTTTAGTAAATCCATTTCGTTTTTGCCTGGAAAAAGTTCACATTGGACCAAACGCGTCGGTTAGTAATACAGTTTTCCTAGTGTCTGTTATCGTTATACATATAGCTTATACTTGACTAAAAAAATAAGGTATAGGTCTGGTTTATTCTTGAGTCAAAAGGTAAATATAGGTCCGGTTTACACTTGAATAATAAGGTAGGCATAGGCTTGGTCTTCACTTGAGTCAAAAAGTAGATACAAGTTTGGTTTATAATTAAGTCGAAAGGTAGACATAGGTGCAGTTTATTCTTGAGTCAAAAGGTAGGATAGGTCACGCCCACGTTTGAATCTTCCAAAACCACCCAGAAGTTTACCTCTATTGCTAGGCTTTGTACGATAAATACAGAATGGTTTATTAAATTTCAATTATTATTTGTATTTTCGTATTTTTTTTAAAATGCAGTCATAAAATCTTTAGCTGAAAAAAGATTTCAAACGCATATATCTCCACTCCTATATATTCGACAAGTTTTATTATTCTATCAGTATATGCTTGAATTCTTTCTGATAATATGAAATTGGCGAAGATTGACTAAAGCGTATTAAATCAATTTGAAATCGCTATTGGAGATACTAAAATCAAGTACAAAAACTTAAATATTTAAGACATATTTTAACAGAGGACAGCAAATGTGACACCGAAATCCGAAGGCACATTCGGATAGCGAAAGATGCTTTCTAAAAGCTAAGCAAAGCATTAAGAAATAAGCTCATTCCATTGGAAAAAAAGAGTACTGAACTGTTATGTAATATCGGTTCATTTGAAATGCAGGTAATGCTGGACAATTTCTTCACAAATGAAGAAGAGACTTATAACAACAGAAATGTGGTTCTACAGAAGGATGCTGAGAATACCATAGACTGAACATGTGAGCGATGACGGAGTTTTAAAGAAAATGAAAACACCCTATGGACACTTATATTTAACATCAGAAAGAGACAATTAAAATGTCTAGGGCACATAATGAGGAAAGTAGGCTTGGAAAATTTGACACTGACCTGGTGGAGTACACTCATGATGAACAATACCCATATGCTGTCGAAGAAAACTGTCAACAGTGTCTTTATATTGTTTCGATTCATTCGCACTTTCTTCGTTCTCGGAGACGTTAGGGCTTTTCCACTGTGAATTAATTTCGGAGTCATAGTCATAGACTCATGATTCGTGACCTGTTAAGACCGTTTTAAAATGTTTTCTGTGGTGAAACGACTGCAAAACTGTACGCACTTTCCTTCCAAGCAGTGCTATAAACAACGGAAGTGAGCGAGAACTTAGTAGGACTGCGGGATAGAGTTCGAGTTCAAGTGGCTTCACTCTGCGTACGACAACAGTCCCGATACTTTTTGATCAGACCTGGTATAATCGGATGTATTTGTTGTTTAAATCATTTTTTTTTTAATATTTTAATTCAATATTATAACATTTTAAAAGATTTTTGCCCTTAATATTGTACAAATAGATAGAAATTTGATTTCGTAAGGACAGAGAGTCTGTGAACAAACTTTATTTCCCGTGAAACATGGAAAATAAGGCTTCTAATTTAAAACAAATTAGCCGTTTATTAAATAAAATGATTGCCCAGGTACACTTCTAATTTTTTCATTTTTAATTTAATCTAATTTTGCTACTGTTTATTTTTAAATAATTGAATGTCGTAGGCTTTATTTATGTAAATAAATAGAAACTTGTTTATCATTTTTGGCAAATATTAGTTTTTTTTGTATTTGTCTTTTTATATAAAATAAATAAATGATTTATTAATAATTCAAAAATCGCCCTTTATTAAATAAAAAGAATGAAATACTTCACAATTCGTGCATTCATTAATTTACTTTACCACTGTTTTTAAAAAAGATTATTGAATAAGGTCGGGTTTAAATTGAAAACGTATTTTGCTATGTTTTATGATGCTATCTATTACGTATGTATAATTTACAAATATCTCCGCTTAGATAAAGAGCATAAAAATAAATTGTTTATCAAACCCTTCTATGAAACTTGCTGAATTAGTATATAGATAGTTTTAAGCGTCTAAATGTAGTTTGGGAACAAAACCGGACACATACACGTATAGACACTTATACATGTATGCAGGTTCTTTATTATAGATTAGATTAAAAAATGAGTTCTTCTTCGATGTAAGTTTCGACAGGTTTCTTTTTTATCCTAACGAAATCATTTCTAAGGTTCGAACCTCAAACGCTTCAGTTTATCCCTATTACTCCGGAGAAAAGTATCAACAAAAACGGCTTTTATTTCGTTTCGTCTTTTTAATGATTTTTTTTTTAATGCTCCTTCTTTTTCGTACAGTATCTCTACTAAGAGAACAGTGGTATGGTCAGAGAACCCTTGGCAGAGGTTATCTCCCTTGTTGAAGCAGTACATTGGACAAGAATTATCATACTGTCTTCACTCATGCGCAATGAGTGATCGTATCAAGTGCTACTGAAACTTCCATTTTCTTCTTCTTCTTCTTCTTCTTCTTATTATTATTATTATTATTATTATTATTATTATTATTATTATTATTATTATTCCTTTACGCATATATTCAGTGGAGATGTTTTCAAGTTAGCATCTTCAAAATCATATCGATGTGAATTCAATATCTTTTTTTAGACATTGCATTCCTCAAATAAGATCGTTACTTTTTCTCATATGTACCAAGTTCAAGCAATGGTTGTATGAATTCTATCTCGGGGATGAACAAAAAGTATGAATGTTGCAGTCGATGAGGTTTCATGTTCATTCTCCTGACCATTAGTCCTCCATTTATTCAGGTCCCTGAATATTTTCTGAGTTCTCTTTGCGCATACACTCATGGATGTCGCCAAAAGCATCATAACTTTTTGTTTTGGCCTACGCCATCTTGATACTGAGATGTAGACGCTATACGCAAACTGGTATCCACTTGGAAAACTATATTTACTTGTAAGAAGAGGACACACTGTTTTTTTTTAGCTTTTTTGTTTGCTTTTAGTATGAATTTCTTTATACACTTTTTATTTTTTCCTGTCTGCAATCTAAGGTTTTTTAACTTCTTTTTTTTTCTTTTGTTTGCTTTCGTTTCTGTTATATTTTTATGTCTTTTCTTTTTACATATTTACAAAGACCACACTTGTTTGCTGTACCTAATATTTCTATGTGGTCACCCAAATTGTTACAAAGATCTTCTTAGACTGACAGAAGGCTACAATTGTATAGCACTCAGGGGGGGATCGAACTCACTATAGTGGAAATAGTCCGAAGGTATAACTTGTTAACAACTGCATCACATCATGGTACGGTTTCCATTTTAATTTCCACCTCATTTTTTTTCATTTGTTTTAAATACTCATACTTCTTTCTTTATTCATTTATTCATTTTCATACTTTTTTTCATTTGAATGTGTGCTGCCTTTTGTTCAAGTGACGATTCTTTCGATTTTCTTTCAATCATTTTCCTTCCTTCCTTCCTTCCTTCCTTCCTTCCTTCCTTCCTTCCTTCCTTCCTTCCTTCTTTCCTTCCTTCCTTCATTAGCTTCTGTTCTTTTTTCTTCTCTTTTATTTGGTTTTCTTCTCTTTGCCCCCTTTCTTTCTTTCTTTCTTTTTTTTTCTTTCTTTCTTTCTTTCTTTCTTTCTTTCTTTCTTTCTTTTCATCATTTGAGTGCATGTTTCCACTTGACTGCTTTTCTGCAATTGAACAATCTATTTCTTTCTTTCTTTTTCCTTTTCTTGTTTTCTTTTTCTTCATCATTTGAGTGCCTATTTGACTGCTTTTTTACAATTGAACAATCTATTTCTCTTTCTTTCTTTCTTTCTTTTTCTTCATCATGTTTCTATTTGACCGCTTGTCTGCAATTGTACAATCTTTCTTTTCGATTGTTTTTTCCCAAGTGTTCGTTCATTTTCTTTCTTTTTTCTTCTTTCTTTATTTTCTTTTTTTCTTTTCCTTCTCTTCTTCACTTGAATGTGTGCTTCTTTCTCCGCCTTTTCTGCAAGTGAACAATCCCTTTCTTTTCTCGATCACTCCTTCCTTCCTTCCTTCCTTCCTTCCTTCCTTCCTTCCTTCCTTCCTTCCTTCCTTCCTTAATTTCGACTTCTTTGTCTATGGGTCATTGTGCTTCCATTTCGTAGATGATCTTGTTTTATTTTGACAGTCAGATCACTTTTTATGCAGGTCGCCAACCAGGGCGTCTGTATTTGACATACTTACATACGTAAGTAGGCACAAGCCTAAAATTTTGCATACCAAGAGACATCACAGACATCGACAGACTCCTACATATATCTACACATTCTGAAATGTACAAATGAATATAAATTAAATAAGAAATGCAAAGAAGCATACGTAAACACTGGGAAACACAGGGATGCATAAGGAAGGCAAAAGATGAATATGATTTTTTCCAAAGGAAAAAGTGAACTAATGGTTGAACAAGGGCTGTACGCCGTATCAGAAATCTTTGCATACATATAAATTAGACAACAATACGGAAAAATCCGAGAGCTAACTATGTAAGTAGGTAGGTATCGAGATAGATAAGAACAAACTGAGATAATAAGAGGAAAACAGAGATAGATAGATAGATAGATAGATAGATTGGGATTAAATAGATATATAAATATAAACAGAATTACATAGATAAGAATGGACTGACAAATTACCATTGATTGATATAAAAAAAACATAAAAACAGACTGAAATGGAGAGCTACATAAATAAAAAATAGAAAAACAAGAGACCGACAAAGCTAGATAACACACACTGAGATAGATAGATAGATAGATAGATAGATAGATAGATAGATAGATAAGGACTGACATAAATTAGTACTGATCAAAACAGAGGGAAATGGAGGGATACAAGAATAAAAACATTATATATATATATATATATATATATATATATATAATAGATAGATATAGACAAACAGATATAGACAAATAAGAATAGATTGAAAAAGCTAGATAAGAACAAAGTGAAATAGATAGATAGATAGATAGATAGATAGATAAGGTTCTGAAATGTTATCGGACAGTCCACACCACTGAGAATCTGACCAAATGACCAAACATCAGACTCGAGGAATTCATTGGTCCCTTTAAATCTGTATATATACTATATCAAGTCTAGGCATAAAACACAAACTTATAAAGATTGAAGACCCTTACATTCGACCCGTTCAAAATATTTGAAAATCACCGAAACACCACCAACGCACGCACGCACGCATTTAGAGATATCTGGGAAGCGGTTCCATCCAGATGACGTGGTTTTTGCACAGGTGCAAGATTGGCTTCAGTCGCTTGACGCTATATTATTCGTGGGGTGTATTTATACGTCCGTGCACTGATGTCACAGGGACACAAGCATACGCGTATACCATCGAAGCGGTTCCATTCAGATGACGCGATTGTTGAAGACATGCAATGGTAGCTCTAGTCGTTCGACGCCGTCTTCTTTGAGGAGATTTATCAGCCACAAGGTCATGCAAAGGCTTTGCAACTCAGTCGAGGCTGAAACGTGAGGATTGGGCAGCGATACCCCATTTTTGATTTCTGTCTTGTAGGAGTCGTATTATAGAGAAGTACAGGGAACCAGCCGTTATATTATAGAGCGGGACAGCGAGCCAACCGTATTATAGAGAGGTACAGGGAGCCAACCGTATTATAGAGAGGTAGAGGGAGCCAGCCGTATTATAGAGAGGTACAGGGAGTCAACCGTATTATAGAGAGGTACAGGGAGCCAACCGTATTATTTACACTCGGTCTATTGTCTCCATCTTATTATCTGGCCTTCTTCGGGTGCTTGTAGATCCGGGTAACCTTAAAAGAATTTCGAATCTGCTCCTGTAGACTCAGTTCGAAATTTTCTGGAGCTTATCCGAAGCACGTATGAAAGGTTAGAGGTTACAGCAAGCGAAACTTTGTGTTAACAACTACAATGACGGGGCTAATAATCCGAGTGTTAAGAAACAAATACAATTAGTCCAGAATCGGCCTCGAATAGTAAAAAAATCAGTGAATACTTGTCACAACCCCTAAAAAGTGCTTATTTGTACCTATTTTGATTGTTAAAACCTCATATGCCTTAAACTTTCACCCTAAAAACTTTAGAAACATTTTTGACCTTTTTAAAAATATTTTTGAAAATTACTATTGGTGACCATACACTTAGCGTAAATTTTCTTTCATACGTACAATAACCGTTTTTAATTACCCATATATCGATACAACCATTGAAAATATTGTATAAAATATGTGTAACAAGGCATAAAATATAAAGTTTAAAACATTTTCTAAAAACAGAACTGTGATGATGGCCCTAGACTTAGCATAAGCCACTTTTAAGACCCCAGCTGTAGCTCATAACAAAGAACAAACTCAAGCACTCCGCATGTTTTTGCGTTTGTTTTTGTTGAAACTTGACTAATGCATGGAATAATAATGCAACACAAATTGTACTCAGAACAAAATGTATTGAAACAAGAAAGTGTACACAATATTTACATATAGTCTTTTGTATATTCCTGGTAAGACCGTTCCTGGAGAATGTGTTGACTGAGTCGCAGTCGGGCAGAGTCTCTGGTTGAATCTCTTGATTCCTCCCTCTCTTCCCGGTACCAACCATATTTATATGGTCGGTACTCCACTATGCAAATTAGGTGGATCCTACCATAACAAATAGTAATACAAATTCAGCATTCTATTGACGTTATAGCAAATATTGCGCCCAACACTTGATACATCAAGTGTAAACACTGACCGAAACGCCGTTTAACTCAGGCGGTCATTCAGGCAACTGAATATGATATGCGTATCATCTGCGTAATTTCACAATAGTAAGAACAGTTTAATGTCACATAATGGCAGTTTATTGAATATCGTATACTGCAAAAGCATAATTACGGTATAATTATGGTACATCATTATTTTAAAGGTTACTTGAAAGATACTATATTGCACTGATGATTAAAAACTCAACTCTAAGATATTACTGCTGAAACTTGACTAATGCATGGAATAATAATGCAACACAAAATGTACTTAGAACAAAATGTACTTAGAACAAAATGTATTGAAACAAGAAAGTGTGCACAATATTTACATGTAGTCTTTTGTATATTCCTGGTAAGACCGTTCCTGGAGAATGTGTTGACTGAGTCGCAGTCGGGCAGAGTCTCTGGTTGAATCTCTTGATTCCTCCCTCTCTTCCCGGTACCAACCATATTTATATGGTCGGTACTCCACTATGCAAATTAGGTGGATCCTACCACAACAGTTTTTTTTACAATGAAGATGTACAATTCTGCCAGTTTTTACCATAAAAATGGACTGTTATATGTTTTAAGTCACTTAAATAACAGGAAAATAATACAAGAATATTTTAAATATGTTGTATTGAAAAAATACGCGAATCGAGGGAGTTCTCAGCGAATAATTTGTACATATGTTCTTTTGAAAAACCAAGCGAATATTCGGGGTTTCCGCGAATGACAAATACATATGTTCTAAAGAAAAAATCCGCGAATGTGTGAAGCCGCGAATGCTGAAACGCGGATAGGCGTGGACTCACTACAATGATTACGCTCGATCCCCCAGAAATCCAGATAGAAGTGAGTAAATATTAGTAATTCACTTTCCGTCCGTCCCTCCAATCTATATGTACTAAATCTCTCAGCGTGTTTATAATTACCATATCAATCTCTTTTATTGGTCACTTTAGAGTGATTTTTCAAGCGTAGCATAGATATGACACAAATCCGAAAGTAGGGGACACCCAGTGAGGATCGGACTCACTACTCAGTCGTAATTGGTCTAGCGAGACAAGCTTGCTAACCATTACACCGCTTCGAGGTGTCCTTCTCAGTTGCTTTATATTCGTATCTGTTACACTACGTACTCAATATATTTAGTTAAATGGGAAATTATGAAAAAAGTACCCCATATAATATTAACATTATGAACTGTCGACTGTGTTTAGAAGAAAAATTAACAGTATTAACTTTTAATAATCAAATGATTAAATAAGAAGACTGAAATAATGGGTCGATGCCAACATATCTCTATCTATAAAAGGCAAGATGCGTGTGTGTGTGTAACGATGCACGGCCGCAATTTTCGACGGATTTGCACCAAAATTTACATGCACATGCTCCAAGTTAGCGGGAAAACCAAGACTGACTTTGCATTTCCCAACTACCATCGATAGTGGAAATAATCGATTTTTCATGCTTCTACGGCAGTTTTCATGTAGTTTGCGGCCATTTTCTACTGGCCAGAGTGAGAGCCTATAGCTGGCTGCCACAAATAGGCAGGAAGATTCTATTGGCCAGCGTTAGAGCCAACAGCTGACTGACACGAATGTTAACTAGCATGCTAGCATGCAAAAAAAAAAAATCGATAGCTGCATTCGTCACAAGTGGGAAAAATTTAAATCTGCATGGCACTTTACTCCAATTGGCTCATTCGCTTGCTTAAACTCAACGTTGATTTTGATTCCGCAGAACTGGGTTGGATGTGAAAAAGTATTTGTTGTTAACATTTTTTTTTCATTCGGTTTTCCAGTTACGAGTCCTTTTTTTAAAGCTGATCGTTTTGTGTTCATTTTGTTTAGTTCTTTTTTTCGTAACAGATTTATTGTTTAGTATAGAGCTTAGAAAAAATTCGCAGTGTGAGATAGACAAAAGTAAGACATGTAGCAACATCAGCACGGAAAAGGGCACCCCTTTAAAGGCAAGGAAGGGCAAAAATATTTTAAGTCAAGTGATAGCGATTGCTGTATGAGTCATACGATTTTTGAATCAAGCACGGGCAACGCCGGGCCATGCTGCTAGTTAACAAATATTTACTTTGTTACTTTAATAGTAATATAACATAATAAATCAAATAAATATTAATTTAAAATATTAACTAAAATATTATAATTTAATTAATAATAAAATTTTAAAAATATTACAACTTAATTAGTGATATAACATAACAACTTCTATATAAATCATACAAAAAATAAATTTAATAAGAAAAAATTTACAACTGGAAGAAAAATCTACATCTGAAAAAATGAAAGACGTAAATAAAAGAAAATTTCATGAGCGTGCGTGTGTAGAAGAACGTTAAATTCATGAATATGCATGTGGATAAAAAGGAGTAAAAAAACGGATTGAAAAAAAAACGCGAAACAAAGTTAAAAAATTGGAAATACCGTTTAAAACCACAACCTCTGAAGACTGGAAATTTTACCAAGAAACATCGATGTCGGGATAAAATTGATATATAAAAGTTGAAAAGTAATCTTTTCATATAATATCAGATAAATCGTCCAAATCGTGTAATAGCAAAATTGTCCAATTGTTAGATTAAGCTTTGAACCATTGTATCTTAGAAATGATTAAAGATATCTTACCAGAATTCTCCGAAGTTTTTATAACACTGTTGGACTATACTTTAAGCGATAAGAATGTATAATTACTCGCTAATCTTAACAGAAGAAATGTGATGAAATCGATCATAAACCAAAATGGAATGTTCATCCTTAATTAATTACGGCTAAAGATCGGAAACTCATGAAGGATTGAAATAAATTTCAAATATATTATTCCAGGATCATTTCCAATTTATTAAAGATGATCTTCGCCCTTTCTAACATTCTAACTTTCTGTCCAGGAGTAACAAGGCTCCTTACATGTTTCACTTCATTTTCAATTTTTTTTCACTGCTCTTTATACTGTCATATTTAAAAGTCCTCTTTCACGTGCCAAACGCCTTATCAGTTGAGTTGGATCTTTTCTAATTGATCTCTTTACCTCTAAGTTAAAATGATGATCCCCACTTCCTGTTGCGACCACATGATACAGTTTTCCTTTCTAATATTCACTCTCTTTTTAAACTTATTCAGCATTCATTTAATGGTTCTTGAATGGATGTTAAAGATGGAAATCAGAGTATGAATGTTAGTACCGTTACTGAAGGCAGGAGTGTTCTTTTTTCCTCTCACCATTGCTTAGTTAAGAAGACAGTGGGGCTGAAACAAAACGATTTCAATCTGCTTTTTTTTCTAGCTGAAGGTTTTTTTTCAGCGATTCTTACAAAATTATTTTTCAGTGATTCTTACGACAAATAGTATCAATATGGCTAAACGTCTTATCTGAAAACCTGGAAAGAAGAAACTCAATTAGTTTAGATATTAAACATTTTGTGGGAAGGACAATTATGCTGTGACACGATTTGGATACTTTTCTGCTACACCTGGCATATATATATATATATATATATATATATATATATATATATATATATATATATATATATATATAATTATTTAAAAAAATAGAAATAATTAATAAGAACACCGGATTATAAATCTTACTGTTCTTTTCTTTATATATATATATATATATATATATATATATATATATATATGTGAAAATATATAGAAAATAGGAAGGAACTGTTCTTTCTCTTTATATATATATATATATATATATATATATATATATATATATATATATATATATATATATATAAAATATATAGAAAATAGGAAGGAACAAATGAAATTTTTTTGGATTCCACAAAAAAATTTTCGCTTTGAAGATGGAACAGAGCTTATTTGAACTCAATTTAATTTTAAAAATTATATTGAAGTTTTTCGGCTCTTGTTTTGATACATGGGACTTCTTATGTCGCGATTTGGAGTCATATTTTAAATAAATAATTATATTTATGCTCTACTTTTGTATCGAGCACTATTTTTAAAAATAATAACTAAAATACTAAGGGACTTTGGATTATTTACCTAACCAGTTCCTTCCTATTTTCTATATATTTTCACACACGCACACACACACATATATATATATATATATAAAGAGAAAGAACAGTAAGATTTATAATCCGGTGTTCTAATTAATTATTTTTATTTTTAAAAAATAGTGCTCAATACAATTCTGCAGAGCATAAACACTATAAATTTACTAATTTAAAAATATGGTTCCATCATTACACTACATAGCCATGGAACCATATTTTAAATTATTATATATATATATATATATATATATATATATATATATATATATATATATATATATATATATGTATCGTTGAAAATATATGACAAAGGGTAAAAAGTTTTCTTTGTGACTTCATCGGACTATATTTATTATATTGGTGTGACTACACATGCGCACGAACGAGAAATGCTGGGAATTTTAAATTCATTTTTTATTTTTTCTGTCTCTAGTGTAAATGGGGCCTATTCAGACCTATGTATTAATTTACTGTAATTTTTGTCCTGTGAAACATTTAGTCGACAGTAAATATACCAACAAGTATTGATATGTCGTTAAATTGACCAATCCAACTAAACAACAAATAACTATTTCGAAGGATACAGTAGAAATCGTTAGCAACATTTCATGCAATAGAAGCCATTAGCAACATTTCATGAAATAGGAACCGTTTAGCAACATTTCATAAAAGAGAAGTCATTAGTAACATTTCATGCAATAAAAGTCGTTAGCAACATTTCATGAAATAGAAGCCGTTTAGCAACATTTTATGCAATAGAAGTCGTTAGCAACATTTCATGCAATAGAGGTCATTAGCAACATTTCAGGCAATAGAGGCTGTTAGCAACATTTCATGCAACAGCGGCCGTTAGCAACATTTCAGGATTAGAAGTCGTTAGCAACAGGGACAACCGGAAATAGTAGAAGTCTTTCGTAACATTATCTATTTAATTGGAAAATGTATTAAATCCAACATATTCTTAGT